ACATGAGAGTCCACCGACGTAGCACTTCAAGTCGAATGGCTTCTTTGAACCTAAATCAGGTCGGTGATTCCACAACGAGCACAGACCTTGGCGACGTCTAGGCCCAATTGCCCAAGCTCCGAGGTGTCCCATTGATGCTGGACAAATTGACTGGTTGATATAGGGCATTTTACCCGACGACAAACCCCGCGATCAGGGTCCAGTGAAATAAAGAAGTCGCGACGCCCAACCGTGGTTCCATGCCAGCCATTACATCTCTAAAGAAACGTGCAACGGAAACCCCACCCATGCCCCGAGGCATATAAAGATGGATCGGCTTGACGTATTTTCTAAAGCAGTCAGCCCCCTCAGGCCAACGCGAGAAGTCAAACATCACGATACCCTGCGCGTACGGAAACGAAATTTTCCAGCTCAGCAAATTCGTCTTGCCGCCCTTCCGCCACCATGGTCCGTCCCTCTACCCTCCTGACAGCACTGTGGGCTAGTACCGCCGCCAGCCTGCGCGTGCGTTCCGTGGTCCACAGCGGCAAGGGCTGTCCGCAAGACACAAAGGTGTCCTGGTCATCCGCGGACGAGGCCTTCGTCTTCACGTTCCACGACTTTAGCGAAACGCTTGGCGCCGGCACGACGACGTCCTGTCAGGTGCACGTCCAGATCGATGAGGGTGAGGCCGGCAAGGCCCTGCTCGTCGAGGACGCGACGCTCCGCGGCGGGCTGTACGTCAGCCCTGTGACCAAGGCCGAGTTTCTCACCGTTGCCTTTTGGTCGGAGAATACCTCCGATTCGGTAAGCCGGGCTGTGGGCGTCACTTGAGCTGAATGAGGCAAATCCGAGAGGCGGCGCTAACACAAGATCACAGACGTCCAAGGAGTCGACCATCGCGGCCGGTGCCGGGCCAATCTCGCGCAACGTTGCAGTCTCGCAGAGCCTCGACTTTGCGTCGGTGTGCGTGGGGAGCGATGGATACGTGGGGATCCTCAATGTCAACTTCCGCATCGTGGCACAGGGCAGCGGAAAGGTCACCTTTGGGCGAGAACGTGGAAGTGGAGCGCCTGTGACCGAGGTGCTGAAGTATAAATGGCAGAGCTGCTGAGCGGATGATAATGTCCGGGTGGCAGCATGTGTGGGGATGTTAAAAGGGTCGAGAACGAGAGTGAGCCCCCGTGTAAGTTGCAATAAGGGGGGCGGGCCGATCTTGGGTCTCATCAGTCGCTTGTGCGCTCGACTAGTCGGGGTGCTTGGATGGTAGCTAGCCAGAATACAGTCTGTGTGTTCTCGACCCAGCTGCAAAACTTCGATTCATCATGAATAGTGGATGCTCGTGGGGTCGCAGGGGTGGTTCTTGACATGCAGAAAACATCACCATGTTAGTCTGCCCGAAATGTAAGGGGCAATCGGCTTTGGCGATTCAGGGTAGAATGCAGGTTCGCGGGTCGACTGAAATATCGGTATCCCGCCACCGAGTTCCGTTTCTTCGTCAGGCATTTGCGTCTGGCCACCCATTACACGGCACGATTGCAACGCTGTCCGACAGTTAGAGTGGCACGATGATACCTTTTCAGCGGAGACACTGACTTGCGAGAAGACGTTGACTGGCCATGAGGAAAGCTACTGACCCACGTAGGCACGTGGACAACACACTTCTCTGGGTGCCCACAAGATGATCAGCGGCCTTGAATCCGGGTTGGTTACTCATGCAATTTGAGTCTGCGGAGCGCGGAGACAGCTCGGGGCGGCTTACTGTAGGGCGGCATCCTGATATCTTTGACTGGCGACTTGTACTGCTCCCTCCCCAAAGGCTCGGGTGGGAGAACAAAAAGTCTTGGGGAGTGGGGAAATTGAGGAATGAAGTCTTGACATGTGGCAACGGCGTTGGGAAGATCCAGGTACCGGCAGAACGCAAGACAGCGACGCCATGCCTGTGACGCAAACAGTTGCTCTGTGATCCGATTTTGAAGCTGTTACCCCCCCACCCCCACCCATCATGTACCTTCAGTAGACCGCCTGCGGAATCAGACGGCAAGACAGCCTGCACACGTAACAACGTCCGAATCGGAAAAAACGTCATCTCTCGCGGGAATATATGGGCTGACGGTGATGAAGCGTCGTTTAGATGGTGATATAAGTGTCGACTTGGCAAGGCTCCTCGCGAGGCCCCTGGCAACGTTTGGAAGATAATATGACATCAGTGAGGTGCGGAACTCCTGCATGTGGGCTCTTTGGTGATGCAGGGAAGCTGTAGGAAGGGACAGTTGGAGGGTCGGTTGGCCGAGCCAAGAAACACCCGAACGGTTGAGGTTCGTTGTTCAGGGGTCGATATCACTGACTACCGTCCATAACGCTAGCGTGGATCCGCTGCAGGGAAACGATCGCGATCGGCCGCATGTGGCGTGGTTGGTCGGGATGGCGCTGATTGGCATCGCAAAAGTAATGAACGCGTATATGACTGAGATGCCAAGGGCGAGATTTGTACGACGGGATCTTCTGGGCATCTCGAACAGGCGAGTCAACTGAAGGCATCCGGCTGGCATCCCCAAGGTCGTGGTTCAAGAGAGAGAGAGCTTACGCAGTCGGGAGCATAAGTGCCATCATTACGGATGCATGGTGTTCGCGAGGCAGAGACGGTAACAGCTGCGCAATGAAGGTCTGGCGAGAGTTGAGAGCAGTGGGATAAGAGACAGAGGAGCGACAAGCCGCCGAATGCTTCGCCGAGTCGGGGATCCCGCGCGCCGAACGACTGGTGGTGTGTTAGCCTAGTGCCTGGGCGAGTTCACAAGACGATCCTTCCGAGTCTGATGGAGGGAGGGAAGCCTGTTTGTTTTTTCCCTCATTTCAGTGTACGCAGTAAGCCCGTCCAGAATGCCCCGCCGAGCTAGTAGGGCTGGTATCAGACCAATAGCATGGCAATAAGACGAAGCATTCCCCTGTGACGCGGCGTGGCCCTCGCAACGTGGAAGCTGCGTGAAGATAATCATAGCATTGGTCTATAACTGGCGCCTGGTTTATGGCGAACTTTGGTGCTGCTTGGAAGAGCATAAAGCGGTGAATGCGTTTGCGGTGAGGCGTTGAATGTCCATCACCAAGGCCTGGAAGGTGAAGATGATTTGCAGGTCAGGGGCGCGGAGAAGTTGCGGACTTTCAGGAGAGCGGCGGTCCAGACTGTGAGCACCAACAGCGCTCGACATGTCGATATGTCTTTGGTGACGAATGCCGAGTGTTTGCCAAGCCGGTCTGCGAAGGATGAAGTGATTAGGTGGCTTGGGATGGAGGGTAGGTGGTGGATGGTCGGTGGACGAGATGCTTTCGGACGTCGTAGTCGCTGCCATGTTGTGGGCCTTGGTGGGGACCGGCCCGCTTGTTGTGCCGATTCTTAGCGCGCATCGCTCCTGCCCGCTGCCCACAGTGAATGAACGTTCGACTTCACCCCTCCGTCGGCCTCCCAGTCTATGGCGTTTCCCATCTCTCTCCTTCCAGAAACACCTTTGCTGCTTTCTTCACACCCAAGGAACCCCAACGAGGCAAGAATCATCTCCACTCCACCACTTCACGCCTTTCCTTCAGGCTCGGGAACAACCTCAGGCTCGAGAACGACCTCAAGTACAAGAGTACGCATGCTTATCAAGGCTCTCTCCCGACACGAATGCAAAAGACCTCGAGGACACGGCTGACCCTTGCTGCTTGGCCAACCACTAGCCCTCGAGCACGTCTTGGCTTGTTCGACTGAGACTACCATCCTTGCGCTTCTCAGCTGGCCGGGCTGCTTGGCCTTGCATCTGTCCCCTTCGCGATTGTGTCAACCGGCACACGTCCGGCACATGTCTTCTCAATGTGTCTCCTGATGGTAAGTATGACGTGAGCCAATGCTGATGTAGCCTTGGCAATATTCGCCGCATTCACTATCTTCTCTACGAGCTTTTGACTTCTGCCGTGGACAATGTGATATGCTGACTGCACGCCAGGAACGTCCTATGGCGACCTAGGACACAAGAGAGGCAAACAGGGTTACTGGTGCTAAGCAAGACCTTGAATGATGTGGCCCATGCTCGATACTGGAAGCGGTTCACACCAGCCATGCTCATTACCCTTGACCAAGGCCACATTCGATTGAGGTCTCTGGAGAAGAACCCGCCCGCCCGTCACCGAGCCTCCGCAACTTATCTAACGCCTTGATGGTCTCGGCTGCCGTCCTCATAGCCTTGTGGGCCGGACCCGGACTAAGTCTGTAATGCCGCTCGGCTCGAGCTAGGTATTCGAACGGCCGCGCTGCATTGGCCGTCCCTCTCATTGCAGCCTTACACTTGCCGTCGCAGCAAGCCCATTTCGACTGGCCATGGCCTGATATCCACCGTTCAACTTCCGCTCCTGTTGGTCGTCCTGCAGGTTACCGGGCGAGGCGACTGGGACGACTTGAAAGACTGGAGACATTTGGACAGACAACCGGCCTAAAAATCCTATTTTCCCGTCGGGCGCGCCGCCTCACGGTCTCGACTTCAGCGTTTCCACCGTTGGATCCACCAAAGTACTACCGTTTGGCACGCCAACTCGCCATGCCGCCCTCGCACCCCTTCCCCGTGGAGGACCAGACCGCGTTGCGCTGATGGCCAGAGCCGTCACTGAGTGGAAACCCGTCCTCATGATCATCCGACATGCTGGGCTGGGGGAATGCGGTCCACTTCCCCATGCTCCACCAGGCATGGCTTCTTGGTATCACTCGGCGTGGTAGACGCCTTCGTCTGGTGTCTTGCCTGTCTCCTGTTTTCGTTAGTACCCCCTGTATGATCCCCAGACGACCCTCGACTTCTTAAGGGACCATCCTCCCACCAGAATCTCCCTGGATCCCTTGTTCTTTTCATTCACCCAACTTCACAGTCTTCCCTGTTGTCGAGGTCTTCTTCGTTAGGCCCTCCACAGAATCTCCTCATCATCATACTTCATCTGCGAGTCCTAGGCTTCATCGACACAGACAAGCATTGACCCCAGGCTTGGGACCTGTTTCAGTCATGCCTCCTCCACGTGCTGACGATGAGGCTCCGCCAACAGACCTCACCAACGACCACCCCCGCATGGAAGGCACCAATACCAGCCGCAGCAGCAGTAACAATGAGCCCATGACTGATGAGAAGGCCATGCATCAGGGCGGTCCTGGCGGTCCGGACCGGCGCCGCCGCAGCTCAGTCGCTGCACTGCTTCAGAACCCACTCGCTGGCTTGACCCAGGATCAGGTGCTCGCCGACGTCGACAACTTTACTCAGAGTAAGGGTCTGACGGAATACCAAGAAGTCTTCCGCAAGGGCGCTCTCGTTGCTCAGGTCAACAACCAGGATGGCGCTTTCGAGCGTATTGAAGTGCTCGACGAGGACGAGAAGAACGTCTTGCGTAGGGAGCTGACCCACCGCTGGAGCCAGCCCTTTATGCTGTACTTCCTCTGCACTCTCTGCGCCGGATCCGCCATTGTTCAGGGCATGGATCAGTCGGCCGTCAACGGCGCTCAAGACTTTTACTTCCAGGAGCTCGGCTTGGCAGACATGTCAGCAGAGATCCGGGGACTTGTCAACGGTGCCCCCTACCTCTGTTCTGCGCTCATCGGCTGCTGGACCAACCCTTTTCTCAATCACTGGTTCGGTCGTCGCGGCACCATTTTCATCAGCTGTGGCCTGTCCGTCATCACCGGCTTCTGGCAAGCTGCTGCCAACAACTGGTACAACCTTCTCATCGCCCGTTTCTTCCTTGGTTTCGCCGTCGGCGCCAAGTCTTCCACCACCCCCGTCTACTCGGCCGAGTCCACACCCAAGACCATTCGTGGTGCCCTCACCATGATGTGGCAGATGTGGACGGCGTTCGGCATCGCCCTTGGTACCATTGTCGGCGTCGCCTTCTCTGGAGTGACGATCTTCGGCGAGGAGACTCAATGGCGTTGGATCATGGCCTCCACCTCCATCCCTCCCCTCGTCGTCATGGTCCAAGTCTACCTGTGCCCCGAGTCTCCCCGCTGGTATATGGAGAAGGGACGTTATCCCGAGGCCTTCAAGGCAACCTGCCGTCTTCGATACACCAAGGTCCAGGCTGCCCGCGACATGTACTACGCCTACAAGCTGCTCGAGATTGAGAGCGCCGAGCGTGAGGGTCGAAGCTGGAAGGAATTCTTCACAGTGCGAAGAAACCGCCGCGCCGCACAGTCCTCGTGGTTTGTAATGTTTATGCAACAATTTTGTGGTGTCAATGTCATCGTCTATTACTCTAGTGCGTCTAGCCCTTCATCTACATATTTCTACGGGTATGGTGCTAACAGGAGAACAGTGATCATGTTCCAGAATGCCGACTTCACGCGGAACGAGGCTCTTCTCGTCACTATGGGCACCGGTCTTGTCAACTGGCTGTTTGCTATTCCGGCCATTTACACAATTGACACGTTTGGACGCCGCAACCTTCTGCTGGTCACCTTCCCGTTGATGTCGTTCTTCATGTTCTTCACAGGCTTCAGTTTCCTCATCACCGAGCAAGCTGCGCGTCTGGCCTGCGTGACGACGGGTATCTATCTCTTCATGGCTGTGTACTCGCCCGGCGCCGGCCCGGTTCCGTTCACGTACTCGGCCGAGGCGTTCCCGCTTCACATTCGCGATATCGGCATGTGCAGTGCCACGGCCGTCACCTGGGGCTTCAACTTCATCATCTCCTTCTCGTGGCTTCCCATGGTCGAGGCGTACGGTGACACGGGCGCCTTCTGCTGGTACGGCACATGGAACCTCATCGGCTGGGTCTTTGCCTACTTCCTCTTGCCCGAGACGAAGAACCTCACCCTTGAAGAGCTCGACAACGTGTTCAATGTCACCAATCGGGAACATGCCGGGTACTACCTGAAGAAATTACCATGGTACATCAAGAAGCATCTGCTCTTCCGGGACGTCGAGCCCATGCCCCCGCTGTACGCGTTTGACCAATCATCGCCACACGACAAGAAGCACGACATGGCAGCCGCCGAAGCTTCGCACAGTGAAGGCGTTGTGCGCTAAGCGGTTTGAAGAAAAAGCCTGGCGGTGGACAGTTCGCCTTTCATTGGTGCGCATGATTTCTTTGTACTCATATTGCTTGTCTGGATATGACGAGGCGAAGATACCATGGATGGGGACGAATTTCTTTGTATTCGATATCTGAAAGTTGATTTGTTAATTAAGAATGGAGTCTCGAAGTCGCAAATGCAAACGGAGATGTTGATCCAGCAAGTCAATTTCGCTGCGGCGAAATTGAATATCGAAAAGCATACGTATGTACGATTCAAAGGGCAGACAGTGCGAGCGCTGCATCACATCACGGAATGCCTGGCCCTCACCTAAGCTTCGAAGAAGCTTTGCAGACGACGCATCGATACGAGCTTCTGGAAAGCCCTAGCACGGTTTATGAGATTGAAGGTGGTACTGCATTTCTTGGACGGACGACTGACTCTAGGAGGAAGGTTTCAGGGACGATCGATTCTCGTTTGGGCCTTCACGCGTTGTTAAAATGCAGGTCAATCACACCTCGATGCGCTGACCTTCCGATTCGGGCATCCGTGCCGGACTCTGCACTGCCGCGTCGGCAGTGGCGTGCGACGATGGGAAGCCGTATCGTTTCCATAACTGCAAGTATAAGATCCGACAGGTAGAAGACATCCATGACACTGAGAGCCGATTTCTTGCCTGTTATGTCGAGTCTCCGGCGCATTCTTTCAACACAATGGTCTTGCTAAGCACGTTGCTGTCGCTCGCGGGTCTCGCGGCCGCCCATCCCGCGCGCGGACCTGCCTCCTCCCCGCAGTGGAAGAATCGCGCGGCGGCTCTCAGCAGTTATCGGTTCGGGGCTGCGTCGACCTATACTTCTTTTGACGTCTTACCGGCCAAGGACTCTCAACGCATCAGGCGGGAACGTGATGGCGCCGTTGACTATGTTGACATCGCGACACGAACACTTCGGGAGGCTATTCCCGGCGCTGCGTTTCGATTGATAGATGATGCTTATGTGGGAACCAACGGTGTTGCACACGTTCATTTTCAGCAGACTGTTGATGGTGTGGATGTGGATGATGCCAGCTTCAATGTCAATGTATGTCGGGTCCAGCGTGTAATGATGGGCACGTATCTAACCATGTCCACTGCCATAGATCCTCGAGAACGGGACTGTTCTGTCTTTTGGAAACTCTTTTGCCAAGCAAGATCTGCACAGAAGAAACTACGGAGACATAGAGCGCGACCCTCTTGTGGCCTTCAAGAACGCCGTCGAACTCTTGAATCTCCCCATCAGCGACGCCTCGAGCGCCACCGCGGAGCCAACTGACGAGCCAGGGCTGTTCGTCATCCGAGGTACTAAAGGCTCGTCCTCAGACCCGAAAGCCAAGCTGGCCTATGTCCGACATGAAGAGACTGTTTTGCTAGTCTGGAGGCTGGAGACCAACATTGATGATAACCAGCTACTCGTTTACGTGGACGCCGACACCGGGACGTCAGTCTCCGGCGTATATGATTCTGTGAAGACTGCAAGCTACGAAGTCTAGTAAGAGATTCAACTTTGTCTCCACCATTAAAAACCCTTCAAGCTAACAGGACTTCCAGCCCCTGGGGATCCGGCAACCCAACAGAGGTAGATCGCAAGCTCGTGGTCAACCCGGAAACCACGGCCTCGTCACCATTCGGTTGGCATTCCGATGGAACTCAGAGCTTCACAACGCTGCGCGGCAACAATGCCTTCATCACCTACCCCGGGGGCAGCACGCCCGCCAATTCTCCGTCCCTCGTCTTCTCCTACCCCTACTCGCCAGTCGCCAGCGGCCAGCGGTACACCGAAGCATCCGCCGCGCAGGGTTTCTACACTGTCAACAAGTTCCATGACATCCTGTATGCTCTCGGCTTCAACGAGCCTGCGGGCAACTTCCAGACGAACAACAACGGCAAGGGCGGAGCAGCCGGAGACCCCCTCAACCTCACCATCCAAACCATGACCGGGACGGCGTTCATCACCGTACCCGCAGACGGAACCAGCCCTCGGATCCAGATGAGCATCTGGTCCGGCAGCCTCGCGCGCGACAGCGTGTTCGAGACGACAGTCCTCCTCCACGAGTACATGCACGGCGTGACGGCGCGGCTCGTCGGCGGCCCAGGCAGCGGGCGGTGCCTCAGCAACATGGACGGCCTCTCGATCGACGAGGGCTTCTCGGACCTTGTGCCCACGATCCTGCGCGTCAAGGCCGGCGACACGCGCAGCAAGGACTACACCATTGCCGACTGGGCGACGGGCCAACCGGTGGGGCTGCGGTCGCACTACATCTCGACGAGCCTGGCGACGACGCCGCTGACGTTCGAGTCGCTGAACCGGCTCGTCGTCTCGGGGGGCTTCGACCTGGCCACCGTCTGGGCGTCGGCCTTCTACGACATCTTCTGGAACCTGGCCGACGCGCACGGCATCGGCGACGTCGACAGCGTCGTGCTCGATGCGGCCGGCGTGCCGAGGGGCGCTCGGTACCTGCTTCTGAAGCTGATCCTCGACAGCGAGGCCCTCATGCCGTGCAACGCGAACCATCTCCAGGCGCGAGATGCGTTGCTGGAGGCCGAGCGCGTCCTGACGGCAGGCGCCAACCGGTGTGCCATCTGGAAGGGGTTTGCGCGGCGAGGGTTCGGGCAGGACGCGACGGTCGGTAGTGGCACGCAAGGTCGTGTAAATGGATTTGCGGTCCCGTCTGGGTGCTAGAAGCCTGGTGTGCGTCACCAACCGGGCACTTCCTGCTACTTCAACAGATGAAAGTCGAATCCAAAGTGAGAACTCGCTCGTGCGTCTGCCGTGAACAGCACATGGCGAGGAGCGGTGGGCGGTTGGAGGTATGGTTTGGGTCTGTCTTGATTCTGTCCAGCGTGATTGTCCTCTTGATATCGGCCATGTTATCGTCCGATGATCAACATCGTAAACTACCATCTTCACTGCCTGCATCAGATGCACAGCGCTGGGAATAAGGACGAATGATGATTTTATTGCTTCTAGACACACCGCTCACGTAGAGTTTTCGTCATAATGACACATCTTCATTCAACGACCAACGGACCTCTTCACGTCCAGAATCACCGTCGACGACCAGTCGAAGAATGGAGGTGCTGGTGCTTTCGGCCTCGGGCGTTCGACGAAGCAAACCGAGGTCAAAGGCCGGAGAGCAACGTCATGGTGTTGGTCGCAGTGTACTCTAGACATGCGGCTACCCCCGCTGCCGGCTCGTTTGCGGCCTGGCTACCCATGGATGTCTCCCTCGCGAGATTCCGAGTTTCTCCTCCTCCTCATGCTTAATTCTGTTCAGGGCCAATATAAACTCCGCAACGACAGGGTTGGATCGGTTCGGCCCGCCCCGAACGCTACCAGGCACACCCAGGGATTTCACACAACCAGTTGGCGTCACAATTGCGATATGGATCGACATCGGATACACCTTGCACCAGTTGCCAGCCAGAGCAGGCTGCTCGGTTCGTCTACGACCCCGCCTGTGCTGCCTCCTCGTGATCATCGGCTTGGCATGTCATTTCACGCCACATGGCTACAGAGGAGGCATGTCAAGTCGAGAGGCCCAATAGAGGAGATGTTCTTTGGTGATCATCAATACAGTTAACATCAGAGACATGAACATTGCTGGCTTCGATCCAGGTCGGGGGAAGGAAAAGACACATTGAAGAGGGTATGGGGGGGAAAACAGACCAGAAAAGAACATCAACAGGTCCAACAACAGAGAGTCCCCAAGCCCGAAATGAGGGCTTGCTCGCACAATGAAGATAGCATGTGCCACCGTCCCGCACCAGAGAGTCCAAGTATAGAGGCTGCAGCCGCACACAGCATCGGGTACCAAAAAGAGACGGACAGAGAGAGGGAGAGAGAGAGAGAGAGACCACACACGCGTGCCACGAAGCATGTAAGATACCGGGACACACAAGTCGACGACCGCTTGCACATGAACCGCCGATCCACAGCCCTTCCACAAGACGCATCACACCAGGGACACTGTTCCAAACGACAGACTCTCTACCTCGGCGGCATCCGCGCGCCGGCGACGGCGAGGTGATCCGCCGCCGTGTTCCCCACGTTGTCGGCATGCCCCTTGACCCAGGTGAAGACGGTGCTCGCGCCCTCGGCCTCGCGCGTCTCGATGAGCTCCCGCACCTCCTCGACGAGGTCCCGGTTCTTCACCGGCTCGCCTTTTGAGTTGTGCCAGTCCTTCTTCTGCCAGCCCTTGTACCAGGACGTCACGCAGTTGATCGAGTACTGGCTGTCCGTGAAGATCTGCACGTCCTGCTCGTCGGGCGCGATCTCCAGGGCTCGGATGATGGCCGTCAGCTCCGCGCGCTGGTTCGTCTGCGGCTCGCCCTCGAGGCGCTCGGAGAGATTCCTTTGGCGCCCAGAGTCAGTTTCCGTCACACCAAAAATTCATGATCGGGGGGGGGAAAGGGGGTCGGAAAGAGGGGGGAAGCCAGCCGTCCAGTGCATACCTCGCATCGTCCACGCCAAAGAAAACACCCACCCCCGCCGCGGCCCCGACCTTGCCGTTCGCAAGACTGCTCCCGTCTGTGTAGATGGCCAGCATGCCCTGGCCCACGGCCTCCTGCGCGCCCCGGGCCGTGGCCGTCGTCTTCTTCGTCAGCGCGGCGCTGCCGCCGTGGCCCCCCGTCACCTTGGCGACGGTCGTCGCGTCGCCAAACTCCTCGATGAACTCGACGGCCTCGGCCCTCGTCTCAAATTTTTTGTACTTGGGCCCCTTGCCCTTGGCGTTGAGCCCAATGGCCTTTTGCGCCGTCGGCCAGTCCGTGTAGATGCCCGGCTGCTCGCCGCGCGCCACGGCGTAAAACTTGGCCGGCTGGGGCGGTCCCGAGGCTGGCGGCGCGGGGTTCTTGCCGGCCACAAAGGCGAGCGCGTCGTCGCGCGAGAGGAAGGACTTGTCTACATTTTTCATACCGGATCTCATCAGCTTCCTCCTTCTCCTTGCATTTTTTTCCCCTTTCGCATGGGAGAGGTC